CTCTCTCTCTCTCTCTCTCTCTCTCTCTCTCTCTCTCTCTCTCTCTCCCTCCCTCCCTCCCTCCCTCCCTCCCTCCCTCCCTCTCTGTCATAAACACACATATATAAAATTTATAGACCACCTGTCTCATTGACAGCAATTCTATATTATTTATTATATTATTACTTTAGTCTTTCTTCTGTTTTTCTTTTTTTCTTTCAATTCATGCACACACACAATAGTAGAAAACCAGTACAGAAGCAACTGAGAAGGATGGGATTACTTTCATTTTCAGTTTATACATTGAAACTAGCAATTTTGGAGACCCAGAAAGGAACAAGACAATCTCCAGAATTTATTTCACCCATAGCAATTCCTTAAATGATACACAAAGCTAAACAGTTCGTACCTCTACCCTCTAACAGTGCTTCAAAGATTAAGCAAAGTATACTTTTTTTTCTCAAGAATACTGTGTGTAGTTTAAGAATGTACCAAGCAGAATCCGAATGGAAGTTATGTATTATATTGAGTGTTATAACTTTAGGGAAAAGATATAAAGGCGTCATACTCCAATCAGTAACTACAGGAGAAATTTTGTTTAATGAGAAAAGATAATAGACAATTGAAACAGGACAGACAAAAATATAAATATAATGATTTGAATTGAGATGAAATAAATAAAATAAAATCGAGAAAATTAAAAGAGGGGAGAAGCCATGTAGAAAATGTAAAATAGTAATAAGATATGGAATAGAATATAAAAATGAGCATGAACCTGAATAGAATATAAAAATGAGCATGAACTTGCGTCTGTACGAAGAAATGTAATCCGGGATTATGCTGCTTTCAAAAAAGATGTTTTACTTGTATTTCTTTTCTTTTTGTGAAAACTCAAATAAAATTTACAAAAAAAAAAAAAAAATTAAGAAAAGTAGAGGTATGTCTCTACTTACCTCGGTGTCTGGATTGGGAGAATTTTCTTGGGGATTGTAGTCAAAAATGGCCACCATTGTTCTTGTAGGGTCCTCAGAACTCGGATTTTGCTTTCCAGGTGCTTCTAAGCCAGAAAGGAAATGTACAACTAGCAGATCAGAATGGGAAGTTGCATTTGTTCCTTTAAAGCAGGGTCTCTCTTAATGGTTTATATAACAAAGTTCTTTATCTGTTCATTGGGATCTAGTTGTGAATGTATGCTCTTCCATACCCAAGAGCCGAGACAACCTTCTACCAAGAAAAAAAAAATCCTTCTCTGCCAGACATAAATTTCAGACATGTTCAAAACATTGACCAAATTTATATGAAATGTTTTGTTTCATATCATTTATGCTGCAAGTTTCAAAATGCACTCCATAATTTAGTCTGGATTTGCTAGATATAAGAAAGGTCAGGGTGGTTTATAGAGGCTTGACTTTGGCTGCTGGAAATCCAGTTTCCTTCTTCTGGATTCTGAGACAATATTCTATGCCTTCAAATTCTAGCAAGGATCATTCCCTATTCAGACAGGAAACAAAAACCAAATGCATGGGACAGAAAATGGGAATATGACACAATAGCATGACTATGACAGGACTGTGTTCTTCTTTACTTAAAACAGGTAGTCCTCGAATTGCAACAGTTTATTTAGTGACTGTTCAAAGTTACAATGTCATGGAAAAAAGTGACTTATGACTATTTTTCACACTTTCGACCACTGCAGCATCCTCATGGTCACGTGACCAAAATTTGGATGCTTGGCAACCAGTTCATATTTATGACCGTTGCAGCGTCCCTGGATGATGTGAACAGCTTTTGTGACCTTCTGGCAAGCAAAGTCCAAGGGAAAGCCAGATTCACTTAACAACTATGACAAGAAAATGGGGCAAAATTCAGTAAACAAATGTCTCATGTAGCAACATAAATTTTGGGCTCAATTATGGTCGTAAGTCAAGGACTACCTATACATTCAAGGAGACGTTAAACAGCTATTTGACAGAGATGTCTTAACTTGGATTTCTGCTATGAGCAGAAGGATAAACTTGACAGCCCTTTAAGTCATAAGATTCTATTAAACGTAGAAACATCATCGTATGATTCTGCAATCACAGAGACATTTTTATGCCCTCTTAGGATATCGATGAGACCCCTTTCTTTTTATAAGTCATAAAGAAAGCCTTATATTTCGGGAGAGCTGTCATACATCTCCTTGCAGCCACCAATCTCCTAGGAGTATCAAGAAAAACAGAAGTAACACTTACCTAAATCAGGGACCTGATCTTCCACCCTGATTGATTCTGTTGGGGGACAAAAGGTATTAGGAGCGAGCTATGTTGGTTTGCCAATGTGTCTTAAGCAAGGAGAAAAACATTTATTTGGGAAAGTGGTGGAATGATCTAGCTAAATGAAAATACAAGTCCTATGAAAATATACAGTTCCAGCCATCTTATGGATATGCAGAACTCGCATAAAAGATAATCCTGTTAAGACAATAAGTACTTTTGTTACTCCCTTTAATGACCAGGGATGTCAAATTCAAGGCCCATGGGCCGCATCCAGCCCACGGGTTGCTTAGTTCTGTCCCACGGGGCCATCCTAGAAACAGTGAAGAACCAGCTCGGGGCCCTCCCGGAGCTCCTTTTTCACTGGCAGAGGGTTGCAGGAGGCCGTTGCAGCCCAAAATGGAGCTCACGAGGGCCACCACAGGGGCTCCCGACATGAGTGACATCGAACTGGCCGTGCCCAACCTGGCCACACCCACCCCAGCCCCCCAAGGTCAAACACAACCCAGATGAGGCCCTCAATGAAATCAAGTTTGACACCCCTGCGGTGGTCCCTCAATTCGGGGTAGAGTCAGGGTGACTAGATGCAGCTGAGCATTTATTGGCTAGATGCCTTTGTATTCCATTCCATGCAAAATTCACAGCAGATATTATTTTTTTCTTTATGCTTTTGGGGAGAAACATCTGTTGCTACTCTCAACCTTCCAAGTGGGAGGTGAGAGTTTTCACCACTAGGCCACCATGCTGCTCGTCCAATAAGCACTATTACTGAAGATGGGAAAGGTTTTATGGACTTTTTGCTGAAAATGAAAATAAAAATAAAAAATAAACAGATGATTTATGGATTTACTGATTTAAAAGGGTAGAATACGAGAAGAATTATGATATAACGTTAATGGGGGAGATGAGGGGATAAGTTTATATCTGCTTGAAAGATGATTGGAAATTATTTTTCTTTTCTTTTTTCTATTTATATTTCTTTCCACACTTTGCTTGCCTTTTCACTTCACATTATTTCTTCTTTTTCTTTTCTTTAATCTTACTTTAGATTACTACCTTTTTGTCTTTTATCTCTTTACAAATCTTTAATAAATATTATAAATAAATACATAAATAAAATATAAAATAAATACAAATTATACAAAGAAAGATAATTCTGTTATCCTTATAGCTACAAGATATTAGCAGCTTCTATCACGAACTGCTGTGCTGACCTTTCTTAGACCGTCGAGGCTTTGAAGGGTGATTTGATAGGTGCGGTGGAGGTGGAGAAAATGCACCATTCCCTGCAATTAAACAAAACAAAACACAATTAAATTAACATGCAATACAGACCAATAACTTAGTAAATTATTCTCCCATTCGCCTGTGGTTCTTAATAAGCTGCTAGGCTTATTTCTGGATTAGTATGATGTAGACAATGGGTTGGGAGATCCATTGCTATGCATAATTATCTCTCAAAACATTTTTTTTAGTATTGTTGTCCAGAATGAACAGGTTTATTGTTGGGGAACCTGATGAACCATCAAAGTGCCCAAAGAAGATAAATGCTCCTGGTATCACTAAGTGCCCAAAACCTCTCCCCAGACTTTGGAATATTATATCGTTCAGCTAACTGGCAGAACCACATGGTACTACAAAGCCACTACAGTGGAAGATTCTAAGCTGAAAAGCCCTACAATGTTATTCCCAAATGTAAGCAGAATCTGTTATTTTGCTGTCTGATTCCACCATGTTATATGGAGAATTTTCTTCTTCTAACGATCTAAACATTGTCCTGGCATTTGACTGTTCAGTATTTAATTCATTACGTGGGGAACCTTTGAGACAGAGAAACAACAGAACTCAAGTGAATTAACTATACATTCTTTAACAGGTAAGTGGACACTTATAATCCATGAATTATATGCAATCCCTTGACTACTCCTATAGAATAGTCTACACTTCTACTCATATAGATCCAAGAGAATATCTGGTTCCCCAAGGCCCAACTGTTCAATCATTAGACTGATGTTTCCTTGAGCAAGATCCTTGCTAACTCAAGTTTTAATTTGCCTCCCTGACAAATCACAGTGATATGGGTAAACATGAGATATTTTGTGAATAGTTTTGCATGTGTATCTGTGGGGGTTGTGTCATCATAACCTTATCCATTTTTTTTTCTATTGGAACATAGCAACCGGCATGATTTCCCATTCAAAAAGGTTCCCAATCCTGGCCTGGCAAAGTTCAAGAATATAATTAGATTTGGGCAGAGTACCTAGACTTTCCATCAGCATATCAGTAGAAATGTGGCCTTCTTCTATCAGCTGTTTTCTCGCACTGTCACTGTCCACCCGGAGCTCAGATACCATGTTGCAGGGTATGAACCCTGTTCTTCCTGCACATTCCCCTCTGTAGAAACCATCTGCATCTTTGTGGCCATAGACCTGTGAAAGGGGGAGGCAGGCAATCAATCGCAACAGTGCCAAAAGAATATTTGCTTACTTCTTTCCACCCATTGCTAAATTTATCCCCAAGAGGTTTGCAGTAATAGGGCATCCCAATGTTT